TCTGTTTCACACTTTTCCACCTCGTTCAACATGATGACAATTTTTGACCTGGCGTTACGAATAGAAAATGTTCTTCTCCAGGCTTTCGAATCTATTCGAATCTAATGGATACAATGGATTCCACTGGAACGCCTTTTCACCCCTTGTACAACAGGAGTGGAATTTTCTAAGTCTCTCACAAATAGAAAAATGTACTTTTCCATCGGAATCTATTCGTTTCCAATGGATCCGATGGACTCCATCGGAACGACTTTCCACCCCCTCATGTAACATGAGCGGAATCCATCTATCATGAGTGGAATCATTCTAAGTCTCTCACGAATAGAAAATGTACTTTTCCATCGGAATCTATTCGTGTCCAATGGATCCGATGGACTCCATCGGAACGACTTTCCACCCCCTCATCCAACATGAGCGGAATTTTTCTAAGTCTCTCACGAATAGAAAATGAACTTTTCCATCGGAATCTATTCGTGTCCAATGGATCCGATGGACTCCATCGGAACGACTTTCCACCCCCTCATCCAACATGAGCGGAATATTTATAAGTCTCTCACGAATAGAAAATGAACTTTTCCATCGGAATCTATTCGTGTCCAATGGATCCGATGGACTCCATCGGAACGACTTTTGACCCCCTCATCCAACATGAGCGGAATTTTTCTAAGTCTCTCACGAATAGAAAATGAACTTTTCCATCGGAATCTATTCGTGTCCAATGGATCCGATGGACTCCATCGGAACGACTTTCCACCCCCTCATCCAACATGAGCGGAATTTTTCTAAGAATACACTTGGTAGGACTTTACACCAATAGACTTCCGGTTTTCCGATGGAAAGCAAGGGGATACGACTGGATTCTGGTCGACAGTATTGGACAACCCGCGAAAAATTATGGTGTATACTGTTGCATTGCAAATACAGCCACCTCTCGTCGCTTTCCGTCGCTAGGAAATGTCCCGACCCGACGGCGTGGAGCGATGTGAGTGGGCTGTATTTAATGGATAGTAGGATTTCATGCTGCTTCCTCACACGGCAAATATTGCACCACTTTGATCAAGCTGGAATTTCTTTCGCAGGGAGCAATTCTAAAATAGAGACCTTTAGATTTGTGAGCATGGACGACTCAGAGGTTTTTTTGCTTCTTCTCAGAAAATAGTAAGCCCGGAAAGTTTTATTGCAAGTTAGAACGGTATTTTTATTGAAGGAGTTTGAGCCTTCTCCCGATCGCAGAGTGATAAAACTCCTAACATTTGATAACTTATTTCCGCCTCCATGACATTCTCGCTAAAAGGTATAGTAGAATGACCGCGGCTGTCACGTTTTCCCGCCAAAATGATGTTGGCTCACGCCACGCACTTCTTGCCATTGAGAAAATCTCTTCCTTGTAGCCGTCCTCCTCTTAGAATCTAAAGGTCACTATTGAGAAACACTATTAATCTAGAAATGATTACTAACTGTAGTACTCTATTTCCTGTAGGGTAATACCTTCAATACCAGTGAGAGTAAGAAGAGACGTCATCGCAAGCGTAAAGGGTCTAGTACACCTGAACTTCTTCCGAGTTTGGCGTGATGTTGAAGTGCCCACCAGATTTTTATTACCCTAAGAAAGGCCCCGTAAGGAAGATTTTGCCTGGTCCCGTGAAATATGGGAAATATGGCGTGTTAGATTCTCAGTTGGCTTAACTAAGGCCCCTCGAGAACCTCACGCATTCCTCACTCCATGCTATTGAAAGTCCGTTTTTAAGGATGACTGGAGTATGAATTCGTTTGGCTTTCGGGGATGCTGTTAGAAAACTACTTTGTGGAGAACCGTCAAAGTTATTGAACCTTTCTTGGTTTACAACCAAAGGCTCGTAATTGGTATACAAGTACAAAAATATCTTTGTTAAATTTTGTGGAAATACTTGACGAGAAATCCCAAATCCAGTCGCAGCTTTATTCTTCTTGGCAAATCCTTGTTTGCTTTTACAGAACTACTGTAAATGCTTGTATTTTAAGGCGCATAGTTCTGTCGTTTACTTAAAACACGTAATTTGCCCTATAAAGACTGCTGCGGTCTTGCCAAAAATATGGTGGTCAAGTTGTTCCACTTACGGTTATGGTGAAATAGAATATTACTAAGAATAAGAATATTGTTATCCTAAGGCAGATATAAAAAGGAAGAATAAATAGAACGCGTCGTTTTGCTTGGTTTAGCAGTCATGGTCAGAGAGGTTGTCTTCTTTCAAGAATTTTGTCAAGCGTGCGACGTTTCACAACTTCCACAAGCATTTTTATTGTCGCACCAACTTCCAATGTATTTTCCGAAATCTGTTATGCCCTTTCTTAGAGAGCCCAAGTAGCCGGCTCTTTTACAACCCTCGTTTTTGACTCACGCTTAAATTGTCTCACTAGTTCGCTCTCCAGTCCAATTATGATATTTAATTTGTGCCGGTCCAATCAAAATAGCCCTCCTTAGGAAAAATCCTAAGGGGTTGCTGTATACACAGACTAGACAATTGGTTATTTATCAGTTAGCTGGTATGAGAAAAAGATCTTGCACTACCTGTTTTGCCTTGTGCGACATGTCAGACATGTGATCAAGCACATGTGTAATTTGGATTAACCTTTTAGCACACAAAGATACCACATAATGGTCTCCCTTTTCCTCTAATTTGAATCATTAGGCTGAATAGCCCGTCCTGTGGGGAACAGGGAGATTGCTTTTCTTGAGATTCTCGGCGTATCACTCAGAAATGACCACAAACTCAGATAAAGTTTAAAAGCCTTTAATTTATTTTAAAGAATGACATCAAATATATAGAAACTGACAAAAGCTGGACATTAGTTTATGAAATAGGCCACTGTCAATATATCCATTGACGTCATGTCCTGAGAACACGAGGAAGAAGAGTGATGACTTTCGTTTCTTCTGGTTTTCTTGGCCTGGCTATGAGTTTGAATAATAGCACGATATATCAAAGTGACCCCATTCATACCGAAGCCCCTACAATATTTTATCTTTCTCCTGCCATTCAAAAATTTATTATTATCATTATAAAATGAAGCAATATTATTATGTTAATACGCAATATGTATTAAATGAATAAATGCATAGTTGTATAAATTAACCATTGAAACGTTCTTGCTGGTACTGACTTCGTTCCTGGCGTATGAGCCATTAAATAAAAGAATTATATAAATTATGCAGATCGAGGAGGGGTATCGGCTGAACGCCGAGGTGGATAACTTCTTTCCCGTCTCTGACCCTGATTGTGTGCCTTTAGCGAATAGTGTGTTATGTATACTGACTTCCACATCAGACCTTAGCTGCAGAAATTGTAACAAAGGTTCCTGTATTGCTTATTGTATTGGCAGCATTGGTCGGAAATGGAATGTTATTTTTTTCCGAACTGCCCTGATAATCCGAATCTTCACTTTTCATACCCAGAGGTGGGTTTCCCAAGTGATCTGCTAATGACACTATTTGAAAGAACACAAAAATCTAAACTATAATCACTATAATTATTATTCAACACCAGCAAAGGTCTCTACAATAATTAAGCTTTTTTTCTTCTACTACTGCAATATTGTTATGGTGAACCGAAGTGCCTTTTATCACCTTACTCCTGATGTCACCTTTTTGAGTCAATAGTTCGTTTCTCCAACGTGACATGACATGTTTATAGCGAGTGGCAATGTTGTAATCTAACTTAGCCAATTAAAACGTTCGTAACATTGAATTGTAGCCACGGAATTATGTGGTAGGTTATGTGGCGTCTGAGGAACTCTGAAGGCTATGATCAGTCACACTATACCGGAAAGTCCTCGTACTGACACGAAAATAATAACGGATTTTGCTTTTGTCAGTTCACATAGAAGAGCGGTGATTTTCCGGCTATTTCTGTTAAGGAGCAAAACTGCGCCGCCGCCGATCTTGAAAAGTGGATCATCACATATCGGATAGGTTTCTGCCACTTGTCGTCGCAGTGTGAACACGTTTTCAAGTGAAATGAGTAGGAGCGAGCATAGGCTGGGACCCACCTGATATGAAAGTATATTTTTAGGAGAGAGCACTGTGATTTAGTACGCCAAACTGGCCTCTCGGCCAACCGGCCGCTCTGGTACGATATTCGATGTGTGTGGACGACTTGTTCAAATTCTATACGGTTGTCGTTCATACTACCGGATACATTTTCATGTCCACACGAAAATCTATTTCCAGTATAGTGTGGACAGACTAAAAAAGTAAAAGAAGCAATCCGAACTACTAACAACTTAATAGTCATTTGTAGAGAATGAACCGATTTTAGTCCCTACAATTGATATATTACCAGTGCTATTCAGTATTTTCTCGATTTCTCTGAAATGAAATTAAATATTATTAGGTATCTTATTGTAAGAACCCATTAAACAGTTGTGCTCGTCATCTCAGTCCTGTTCCTTGCTTGGCGAGGGAACTCCCATATGAAAATGACGGGGTTGCTCGTCTCTCTTAAACGTAGACATCGCAGTTTTTGGTCTCACTTTGGCTGTGCAAGACAAAAAGCCACTATTTTTAACCATAGATGTATCGCTTAACCCCCGCAAACGGACGTAACTTTGTTGGCCAACAACTCGCAACATTGTTGGAAGTTGTTGCGTCCGTTTGCACGTAGCTTTAGGGTTGTGCGTAAAGAAATATGTATATAGAAAAAGACGTTGTCATAATGAGTTAGAGAGTGTTCTACTTTGGCTGCTTTTTGTGATCGTAACCGAGGGAGACTGGTTATGAATACTGGCAAACAGTGAAGATGAAAACAACGGTGTTCAGTTTATGAGTATAGTCATTGGTATTGCAGACGGTGCAACTGCAATTATTTATCTACTTATCCGTCGAGCAGTCCCCTATGCTTTCATATTGGAGCTTACCCCCCATCCCCTCCTCCTCCTTCCCCCCGAGACCCCTATAACAATCTAAAGAAAAAAAGGGTGCTTTGACAAAAATTAAACCATAGACCGTAGAGACCCTACAGAAATTACAGCTTCGTATCAAGAGTGCTAGCTTTACTGGTGTTAATGGCGGATGCCTCACGGTAACATGGCTGGTTCTGATCCAGTAGTCTGAAATAATAGTAAGGGGTATCTTCTGTCATCATCTCTTCCAATATCGGTACTAGTTGAACGAATGAGGGTCGTTCAGTTGGATCCTCCTTCCAGCAGTCCATCATCAATTTGTATCTGTTGAGAAAGGAAGCCATAGTTTAAAATACCACTATATTAAGATTTGTCTCCGTTTACTTTGAATATTGAAGACACTTATGTTCTATAGGCTCTTTTTAAAATAGAGCAACGTAAAGGAAAGAGGCGCGCTGCAGTTTCCACTCCTTGGAAAAGGCTGACAATTTTAGAAAAAAAAAACTGTTTGAAGGACTATGAAAGTATTTCTTCATCGTACCCTCTTTTCGCGCGTCTTTTATTACTTCCATTCTGACTTACATTTCATCGCTGCACGTGCTGGGTTTCTCCATCCGATATCCAGATTTAAGTAAACTGCATAGCCTCATAGGGCTTATCCCAGGGTATGGAGTACCCCCTAAAATAACAAAATAAAGATCAATGCTGTCTTATTAAACATTATCAGGCTTTTCTAATTTTCTATTTTGAAATCGCTGGTGATCCCTGCAATCTGATTGGCTCTCAGCAGTGTGATTTATTTACGAATCACACAATCACATATGTTTTAAACTACGTCGCACCGTCGCACCGTCGCTTTATATCGCATCATTTCTGTTTCGAATACAAAATGAGATGTAAAAGCCCTTTTGTTTCCTTTTTTCAACAGGCTGTTTGATCTGCCCATGGGCAAGTCCTTCCTTATGGTTGTCGATCTAAGGCACGCCTCTTGACCACTACGTAAGAGGTGCCATCCTTCACTCTATCCAGCATTCCCGCTCGACATCTTCCAGGTGGTCTCTTTCCGGGTATTCTTAATTCCCTCAGTAACTAATGGGACATGATCACCATGTAGTAAGGTTTGACGAAGCCAGACTCTCTGACAGACATGAGGCCCTCTTCTCATCGACACGCCTCAATACTTCTTTGTTACAGACTTTGTCAGACCAAGTTATGTTAAAAAACCTTTCTCCAAAGCCACATCCCACAGCTCTCCAGCATTCGCACGTCCTCTTTCTTTAAGGTCTATCATTCGGCTCCATTCAGAAAAGTACCCCAGATGACAGTCTTTCTTCAGGCAAAGGCTAGCGCGCTGAAGGCTTTTGTCAGCTGTTCTTTTTTTTAGTAAACGCGTTTTCGGGCTATTCTCGATCTAATTTATTTTTCACAGGATCCATCCTGTGTAATAAGGCTCCCAAAGTAGTTAAAGTGCCCATCACCTAAAATTTTTTATTTTCTTATCTGAAACTACACCTTATTAAAATAACTTCTGCGAAAAAATTTTCCGATTTGAACCAAAGACGATTCTTTTCGAATTTTTTAAAAACGTTCGAATTTGCCGCCATTTTGGCACACCATTCGTCTTAGTCTTCTCTCGGAGTATGACGTCATATGACGTATTTTAAGGAACACGTGACTTTATCGACAGGAAAACATTAAACGTTCTGGTAGGTTTGTCTGTGTCAGAAAAACTTTCTTGTTGCGAAGACATTGTGATTCAATCCTTACTTGTAATTGATCTTTCTTGTGTACAGCTGATGAAGGCAAGGTAATGCGAGTTCCTTAATTTACGTCACATGACGTCATATGTGAGCCTGCTAGTTTGCGTGATCAGCAGCGCTGGTGTACCGCAAAAATGTAGACTTCAAGCATTGGTAAAAAAATTGCGTTTTGTTCAAATCGCAAATTTTTCTCGCAGAAGTTATTTCAATAAGGTATAGCTTCAGTTAAGAACATAAAAGAAATTATGTGATGGAAACTTTAAAGTGCGACGATTCTTGACTTAATTGTTTACCCTCAAGAAAGATCGTGAATTCCTCACCAGGCCTCTTACTGATTTAACATTGATGTTCATATCATATTCCCCCGCGTTTTCCTGCATTTTACCCATTATAAGTTGCAGACCTTTAACTGCACTGGCTAAGGTTGCTTGATCATCTGCAAAGTGCACTGTCTTAATGAGATGACCTCCCACTCGAATACTTTCATTCACACCACTTAAAGAATCTCTTAGCATGGCTTCAGAATATATGTTAATGAGTATGGGGGATAACGAGCTAACTTGTCTGGTGCCACGGCCAATCACTGCTGGTACGGATTGAATTCTGCGATTTCAAAATGGCTGTAATAAAGTAATTTTTTCACTTCGTGTCGTGCAATATTAGTGTTAAATCAAATTTCTGATCTCAAATCGAACTCGCGCGCGAAATCAATTGTATGATTTCAGACCAAATCGCTCTCCACTCAGTTCAATGACCATCATGAATTATCAATTTACCAACCTCCAGGAGGGATTAAAATAACGTAATGTACAAGTTTAGCATTACTGAGTATTCATTTCGCCAAGTGACACGTGATCTCAGGTCAAGTTGTTGTTAAGGGTATGACTTATAGGCTGGATTATTAAGTTAGCGTATTATTTTTTCTAGTTGTTTAGAAAACACGACATTATGCGAGAATGGCTTCTTTTATAAAGCGGTTCGATTCTCCCGTGACTGCTATCCGAAAACTGAACAGTCAGCTTTTCCCTGATTATTGTCATTTGGGATTCCTCTCAATTCCCTCGGGTATAGGAAAATGACTAGAGTATTATTCTACCAGCATCAGTATACAAAGATTTATAAAACTAGCTTACCCATGGTGGCTAGTTCCCACAAAACAACTCCAAAAGACCATCTGCAATAAAAAGAAGCAGATAAAGAAATTGCAAGAATTAACTTCATAGAAATATCAATTTTGTTTATCTCGCCCCATGGATGGTAATCCAGGAAATTTTTGCTTGGAGTCATGGACTATGGAATCCGGAATCCAGCTAACTATGAAATTCTGGAATCTAGGCCTTTTGAAATCTGGAATACACTGAGTTGGTATCCGGAATCTAGTATCTGGAATGCGGGATGTGGAGCCTGGAATCTAGGATTCAAGATGGTCTCTGATTAACTTCATTGGCTCAAAGTTTCTGTTTACATATCTTATTTTCAAGATTCACGCCTGGAACAGGCTAATGTTTTCCAAACACTTGAGTATTTCTTTAGAGATAGAGTGATAACCGCTACTGTAGACAGTGTCATGATCAAAATTGTGCTCTTTCTTTTCAGACAGTTCTAAACAGTACATTGCAGGGTCTTTGTTATCTAAAACCTCAACTTCACACTGCATCACAGGAAGCCTATGCTTGGCCTAACTGTGACCTCGTTAACATATACTCACACGTCAGTCTTGAAAGTAAAAATGCCGCTTTCCAACGCTTCAGGTGCCATCCATTTCATTGGTAGCTTGTGTACGCTCGTAACTTCGTATATTTCACTCTCATTTGCGTGGCGTAACAAACCAAAATCAGCAATCTTCACCGCTCTGTCCTCACCAAGTAGGATATTACGGGCTGCCAGGTCACGATGAATGAATCCTTTGCTGGCCAAGTATTCCTGGCAGAGAAATAACGACATTATTTCTCAAAGAATTTTTAGTTACCAGATACCTTTAGATCAAAAAAAAATTTCCAATATGAAATTAAAATCGAAGCTCGATTTTACGATATGGCAGGGGGATAGCAGTTTAATCGGGATATCGTTGTAAACGAACTCCCGATTTAACGATTTGGCGGAAAAGCAACCAAGTGCAATGAAACGTCTGTTCCAGGCTCAAAGGTAGCCCGCCACCGCCCCTTTTTCCTAGATCACGCTTTTATATTTTTGCCGGTACCTTACGCTTTTTTGCCTTATTTTTGCCAGTGCCACCCCTACTATCGAGAGCCTGGAACAGGCTACTGCACGCTGTGCCTGGCAAACGGTCTGGAAAGCGGGAGGAAGTGATGGTCGGTCTATTCGTGAAGAATAGAGGGAGGATTTCCGTCACAGCTGTTGGAAAACAAGAAACAAATTGAGGAATTGGCCAAGAAATCCCCGCGACGTATACTTTTCAGCACAAAAAGCCGTGAAAGTTGAACAAGCTAAGTGAACTACAGTCGACTCCAGCTCGAACCCTCGCTAACTCGAACCTTGTGCTACCTCGAACCAGAATCCATTTCGCCTGATTTCCTTTACTGTAATTTATCCTCGGTAACTCGAACCCTCTATAACTCGAAACTCCCGCTAACTCGAAGTAATTTTTCTTTCCCTTCAGATCACTTTCATGCAATTTTACCCTCGATAACTCGAAGAGATGAATATTGGCTCAAAAATAAGGTTTTCAGTTAAGATTTCAACCGCGGAAGAAAACCCGTTGACACCTGTTGACACTTAATTAAATGCTGTTTTTCATGGAGACTTAAGGTGAGTGGAATAAAGCCCTCCTTAGACTGCCACGCCCGAAAAAGAAAAAAAAACTATTGGTTGTTACTATCGAAGTCACCCAAAACGGCATACCCTCAGTGAACATTATCCATTTAGAAATTAGATTTTTTCGTTAAAAAAGGTTCATTCATACCAATGAATAAACAGCAATTATTGGATGAGGCAGAGTTATGCGGATCACCGGGAGGGTGTTATTCGCTAAACCCAAAAGCCAAATATACAGCTGAGCCAGAAGATACCGTAAAATTCCGAAAATAAGCCCCTCCATGTATAAGCCCCTCCAAATATAAGCCCCCCAAACTCGTAACCCAAAAAACCCTCCGTTAAATCGCCCCTCCAAATATAAGCCCCCCGGGAAGCTTGTACTTGGAAATTTCCTTCCAACTATAAGGCTAGCCCAATCGATTTTGAAACACAAATTTCCCTCCATAGATGAGCCCCTCCAAAAATAAGCCCCTCAAAAAGGCCTTTAAAAAATATAAGCCCCGGGGCTTATTTTCGGAATTTTACGGTATATCAATTGAGCTTACAATAGTTAGCAAATACCATCATGGTTGCCGTTTACAAAAAGCAATCCCTTAGCTTCAATCATCAGTTCCACTTGCAGACCGTTTATTGTGCTTTCCAAGATTCAGATTACGGGAGTATTTAACTAGAAAGTCCTTGCTGCTCAGTCTTCCAGTCCCGAAAACAAATTTAATCATTACTTTTTCTTTCCTCTACTTCCCTTCTTTTCTCAGGGGCGTAGCCAGCGCACAGCCCTGTAGGCCCGGGCCTTCAAATTTTTGGTTTGATCACTCTACGGCTTGTAACAAATTATGCGTTGTTGGAGTCAGCTGAAAAAGCACAAGAGCTCAAATTGTTGGTGAGGTCAGTGCGTGCTGGTCATGCGTACAATTTTCAGGATATGTGGAAATGAAAGTCAGCCATGCCTACAACTAGCCAAAAAGCTGGCAACGTCTCTGAATGTCAGGCTTGTATGTACGATTCAAATTGAATAACAGATAGTTTAGCCTTATTCAGGTCATATGGCTGTATTCATTGGACACCTTTTCGAAAATACGAACAGACCTGATTTTTCAATAGGTACCTTCGCGACGGCTCCATGTGATTTTTAGGCTTCTCGGGCTATTAAAAAAAACCTCGTTTTTGACCTTTTTTAAAATCAAACGGTTCAATTTTATGTGTGCTATGTTTCACGAAAAATTCAGCAAGATAGTAGTTAGCCCTACTGATGGTCTGTTATAATTAACGCAGCAATTTGAATGCTTGAAAAATCTGTCGTCTCATGACCGGATAGCATAATACTTGCAGACACAGAAAAACTAGTAGTAAAGTATTTTAAATACGGGGAAGAGGCATATTTTTGCGATTTGCAAACGATAATTAAATTGCAAAAGACATTCTTCAGTCGAAAAAGTTCTTACCATCCCTTTAGCAATCTGCCACGCATAACATAGAACTTCTTTCCCAGAAATGTCTTCTTCATCATCTTCCTTGCCCTCACAGCTGCCTTCTTCTTTCTCGATGGTAATCTTTTCTTCGACGTTTCTTAAAGGCTCAGCGGGAGTAAGCTCTTTTTCTTTGGAGAAATGGGCAATACTGATCGAAGGTAACACCATCACCGACGTAACCGACTCCTTTCGCCCTTCATTTTGTTGAAATGACGGGTTGACATCGTCACTTTCTTCTTCCTCCTTGTCATCTTCGTAACCCGGGTTTAAGCAAGAAGGTTCCATCTCAGGTCGAGGAGCATCGTTGATTGGAATTCCTCTTTCAACGTCGTCCAGGTCGATTTCAATTTCCTTCGCCCCGTTGGAATGATAACCACCGTCTTTTCCACTTTCTTCATTCTTTTTTCCCCTGTTCTCCTCTTTCAGGTTTTCATCCGGGAAATCTTTTGTTTGCAGGTTCCTGGACACCAATTTCGGCCTCTCAGGAACAGGAGGTTTAAGCCTTTCAACGACATCTCTTTGCTGACTCTTTTTCATTGTAAGCTGCAAAAAATATTGAAATGAATTCCGTCTGATCATGAAACAGTTTTGTCAGCAGAAACAATTTCAACACTATCAGTTGGTTAGCCGAAATATTTTTACCCATTTAAAAGGAATCCATGTGAATTGAAAGATTACTTAACCGACGTTAAACTAAAAATCCAGCCGGGAATACCTTATGGGCCAACTTTCTTTAAATCGTCCACGGAAAATTCAAATGGATTAAACTGCAATAGAAACAAAGCTTTTCTTCTGCTTTGTTACAATTTTCTATGACATTTTAAGAAACACAGTCCCAAAAACGCGACGTGTGCTTCTTGATATTAGGTTTGACCTAATGCCACTTGTGACGTCATATCTCGTACAGGGCTTACGGGAAGGACAATCATTATCTCCACCAAAATATTTTGATGGTTTTTTTTTTAAAGAAACTTTTCTACTACGTCGGTCGGAGGGTAAAAAGAAAAACTCTGATGTTATCAACTGATTTGAATAACTCATCTTGCCACCAATGAAAGACCGTGGATCGAAAAGCTGACGGGCATTTTGAGTGGAAGCCCTTTGTCAGCTCGAATCAAGAACGGTTTATCAAATGTCGGAGCTCAACTACGGTGAATACATGAGAAAATGTTAAAACAATAAGTAAATTACCAGAATGAAATGCGTTCGTTGAAGTAAACTATTCTTGTCTTGTTACCATGCTCAAACAATAGCGTAGCTCCACTATTAGTAATCCTGTGATTCATTCTGACCAGAAAAGGTTAACGCCCACCTGGGGGTTCTCTAAAAAATTTCGAATAGTTGAGACAAGCGAAAATCAATATCCTATTCAAGACCCAAACGTGGAAAATGAGGCCAAGTTTAAGAAAAACAAAACTTAAGAATTAATGGAAACAGAAAAAAACTTCCTTAAATCGCGCTCCTAATATAATCAGCTCAAGGGTAAAGTTCAGTTCTAACAGATCTATGATTTGTTTCTCGTGTGTTGGGCATTAACGAATGTGAATTTTACCTGATAGAATAACGGTACCCTATCGGCAACACTGCGCCAATAAGGGCAACAAGGATACCATATTTAAGGATGGAGATCCTCATCCTATCGGGTGGGATTACCCCCTGGGGGAAACGCTGAAAACGTTTCTCACAACCTACTCCTCCCCAAAGAAAACATCAACACCACCATCTCACTTAGGTAAAATGTGGCTTAGGGGAGGGATAGGTGGGCAGTTTCCCGGAAACCTTAACTGATCCTACCGGGGCAAGCTTAACTTTACTGACTTTATGAACACATATTTTTGTGTATTTACCGATCTTTGTTTAAGGAATACATGAATAGCATCTAAACAGTCTGCCTGTATAAACCGCGTTTGGGAAAATACAAATGTCCGGTTGCATTTATACCTACATTTTTAAGTGAACCTCTGTCTTTGAGAACTTAAATTATAGGTAACATGTACAAATTCTCATATCAAGTTGGTTAGCATCTTATTATTTTTAACGAAGACGATGGTTCTTAGACGTGTGTTGAGATAGAGGATTTTCCTTCTGCCTTAAAGCTCCTTAAGAGACCACACAATGTAAGAAAAAAACACACGCAGCAGGATGATCATTAGAAAATTAAAGTGCAGCACAGAATACTAATGACGTCAGAGTGACTACTTTGCAATGTTTCTCTGAAATCTGCCATTTTTTTTTTTTTTTTATGACAAAAGTCAGAGAAACTTGACATTTTAATGGCAAAAAAACAAACAGAAATAAGGAATTTGTTTGTCTGAGTTTGAGTTCTATAAATAATACCTGTGCGCAGCACTATTGCGAATGGAGAGCAGGTATTTTTTAAACAAAGGGCAAAAAAGAGGGCAGCAAATTTTTATTGACACAGCTGATAAAGTAATGATACCTGTACATGTTGCCTTTTGTTTCTGAGCCACTGAAGAAGATCTCCGTTTGGAACATATTCCATGATTAACATGATGGGATGTGATTGGATCCAGTACCCGAGCATGCTCACAATATTACGGTGTGTTCCGACTTCCTTCATCAGCTCAATTTCCCGAACTAACTGCCGTTTTTCCTCCTCCGTGGCATTTTCTGAAGAAAAAGAAAGACATTGAAAAAAATCCAGTAACCGTGACCAACGTAAATGCTACACGATATCAGTTAGTACTAAACAACTAAAACCAGATGTAAAGATAAAAAGAACTAATTAAAATGAAAGTACACTTAACCTATGAAAATAAAACACAGTCAATGGCTCAGGTCCTAATTTCTGCTTGAGAAAAAATCTATTTGTTAAATAATTGGTTCCCTAAGTTAAGTGACGTAGATAAAACAAAGTCTGAAAGAAAAACCGTTAGTTCTCTTCATCTAGCGATCACCAAGCACGACATGTAACATGATGTAATACTGGATGATCTTTTAGTCCGGAAACTTGTTTCTTTAATTCTAGACGCCACGTTTTGTGTTCTTTAATTGCTTCCCTATTCTCGACCCAGGGGCTCTTCATCTCCAATAATATGACTTTCCTTGAGTTCCTTGAGTGTACATTTGTAATCCTAACGTATCTATCCAATTGGCTCACTTCCATTGACTCTGCATAGACAGGGACATCCCAGTATGCTTTTGTAGATTGGTTTCATGAAGGATTTTCGGCTCATTGTCATCGTCATCATTATCATCATCAAGCTCTAAGGCGCTTTACAATAAATGTTTTCAACTTAAACGACAAGAAAGCAGTAACTCGTAACTTTAAAAAATAAAAAAAAAATTGTTAAACAAAACTACGAAATAAAAATAACGCTTAGAGGTTTTTAAAGCTTTTATTAAGATTGCTCTTAGAAGAACGAATATTCAAACTCCATTTTACACTCTATGTGCTATGGAGAATTATTGCAAAGTTTAGGGACACAAAACGAAAAAGCATGATCGCCAGATAAAATTTTAGCCTTGATCTGAGTGCCATTAATTAATAAGTTCATGGTTGATGATCGTGAACTCCTAACAGTTTTTTAAGTTTGAAACAAATGATGAATATGGAAGGGACATACATAATTTAAAATTCCGCTACTCGTGCTCCAAGGGAAGCCAAATGAATGTAGTAAAGCAATAACCTGGTCATATTTGCAACCACATACGATCAGATAAAGTTCTCAAGTGATGATTGAAACATGTAAATAACGTATTTCGAAAGATTACATAAGAGAACCAGGGGCACCCAACGAGGATATAGTTCAAACATAGCATTGTTAAGCGTATTTAGTATTTAAACAGTAGATATAGGCATATTTTTATCTCTTAAAAATATTTCATCTGTCCGGATTTCCTAGCTGAGAGCCTTGACTAGTGAATCGAAAATTATAGGGATCAAAAGTTACCTTTTCGAAAATTTAAACCAGGAAAAAGGCTCCCGAAAATTCTAGGTGACCTTTTTAGGGAAAAATGCGTTAAAAATGGGCAATTATACCATTCTTTAAAAGTTGAAAAATCCTAGGAGAGGCAGGTAAGCAGGAAATTTTACAACAAATGTTCCGAAAATTCTAGATCTCAAATCATCTTCCGAACAGATAATTTCCGAAAATTGAAGTTGGGTGCCCCTGAGAGAACGACCAATCTACACATTACGAAGGCATGCACTAACATTTTGAATTGGTTTAAAAAAATAATCTGTTATGATGTCACAGCCCTGAGAAGTGATCATGCAGCCTGCTCTGTTTTGCATTTTTTATATCTGTTTGGTTTTGTTAAAAGGTGCCCGCTCGGTTTTCGCTTGAACACGGGCATTGGTTTATAAGCGCTATATACTTTTTAGTACATTTAAATAATGTGACATAGTCTCGAGCCTGTCTGAGACCACTTATAACACGACTAACCTTGGAGCACGCCTTATCAATGTTCTGATCTCACTGAAGGTTTTTATGTCTACAGTAATTTATTCATTGCAAATCGTGTGGGAAATTGCAAACATTCAGGGAGGTCATAAATTAATATAAGTAGAAAAAAAAATTTAAGGATCTAAAATGGGCCTCTGAGGTACATCACAATGTTACCGACTGGGGCATTGAGATGCTGTTTTCCACGATATAATATTTGCTATCTATTGGATTAAATAATTCAAACCTGTTACAAGAGAGGCTCTCTTGCCTGTTATTAATAAGAATCACTCCCGTGAAAGACTAAGTTATCTTTTTGCCATATTCTGCATTCACGCACCTGGTAGAACTTTTGTAGCAACAATACGTCCCTCATGCGAATCCAAACTGTGATCCTTGGGTTTCGAGGATGTTTTCTTTTCAGATAGCCCCCTCATCACGCTCTTATAAACTCTTCCAAAAGCGCCTCGTCCCAGTTCCTCCATGATAGTAACCCGCTCGTGAGGGACTTCCAGCAACATAAACTCAGCAATGTCAGACTCACTGGATCAAAGTGCAAATTAAATGTTAGTGAAATTTCTCGTAATTAATCATGGGCTTGTGGTAACGCTTAAATCAGGGACGGCTTCCTAGTTGATACTATTTAGTCAAAAGTTACACTGCCTTGGCCTGTAAGAAAGGTCACTTGTGGCTTGGGAGTGAGTACGACACCAGATAGACATGCCCAGACACTTTATCATGGAACAATTCAGCAACAAAGAATAATATTCTAAATTTGAGTGATATTATCTTTTGAATGAAATACCGTTTATCATGCCTCTTTGCTCTCTTACGGCAGACAATTATCCCCACCACCACAGCAGCAAGAGCCACGGAAACTCCCAGCATTATCCAGGCAATCTTTGCAGTATCATTTTTAGTGATAGGGGAGCCTCCTGTAGGATCATTTTGGCTAATGAAACCGCCTGATGTAGGATCACTTTTATTGGTAAGATGCTGTCTGGTCACTGAGGGAAAAAAGCAATCGTTAATGCTAAGAACTGTAACAGTTATACACATCATTGAAAAAGTAGCTTTAATGTTTAAGTAGCACCCGGGGCGGCTTATTTAAGAGATGGGAGCTCTTCTTTGAAAGGGATCACTTCGTTCTTCAGAATTTGAAAGCCTGGAAAATTACATGGTATATGACGATGAACCCTTGGCTGTTGAAGAATGGTTAAAAAGTAAGAAGAAGTTAAAAGAAAATGATAAGCTAGAGCGTGTACTACGGGTTTAAGAGAACTACGGGTCAGTTCAGTTGCTGAGTGCCGGCAGATCATTTCGTACGATCGCGTGAAGAAGTAAGTTTATGTAAATAATCGAATAGCTGCTTGTTTGGCGGCATGATTGCTATGATGTATGAGGAGAGTTGTTAGCATTCGCTATAAAAAAGCGGTATTTTTGGATGATTCTAGTTACCCTGAATGTAACGTACGTATGTTCAGGATTAGGGCACCTGTTTAGGATTCGTTCGATTAACCTTGTTCTGGAATACAAAATATACGAATGGCGTATAATCTTATTTTTTTATTGTTCTCATCATTCCTATTATATTTCGGAGAGCGTAAATCAGAATAATTACAATGACAAGAGTAATGGCAGACGTTTTCGGTGAAGCGAAAAGGTAACAAGAAGGGCAAAAATTAAACGCATTTGGTTTGTCAGCGGTATTAGCAGAGCAACAACTTTACACGTGCAACACTCATTTTTAACTCGTGGGTACGCGCGAGCGTACCACGAGTTATTGCAGGGACTGAGATATGCAAATGAGTCACCACTCACCGTAGTAGACGCACTTCGTAATTAATCGGGTCCGAACTCGAGAGCGCGAAGATCTATCGTTTCCAAAGAAGCACGCGCTCGCCGAAGTTCGGTGGCATCAAATTCCTCGCTGCGAACGTGCATCGTGCGCTACAGCACGGTTAGGATAGAGGTCTTACCAAATTAAGACAGGCAGGAATCTTTCAAATTAGTACGATTCAAAAGCCTTTGACCCGTCCAGGCGTTAAACTTGACAAGAATATGAGCATTTGCTCTTCGACTCCTTCAACTTCGACGCTGGCTTGATCTCGTACCTTGTAGTACTGTAGTAGGTTATGTGTATGAATGAATTTATGGCGGTCAGTATAAAACACGGAATGCGAACTACCGACTGCGGACTGGGTATAAAATACGGACTGGTGAAATGTATGGTAAATAAAGGCACTTCTTCTTCTTCTTCTTCTTCTTCTTCTTCTTCCTCTTAAGGACTCCCCAAGATCACGGGGGGAAATGGATGTGAGTTTGAGCATTACCTTTTTAAAATAACAGCGGATGTCGACATAAGAAAACATAAGCTAATGTTTTGCGTCCTACTTCGCGGAGGAGTTGTGTCGGCTTTGTATCGCATATGTTCTTTCATTGCCATGAAATGCGTTTACATTGTTTTTTACTGTCAGTAGCCTGGTTTCAATTAGCCTTAATTTCATCCCATTCCTTCGAGTCGTTTTTATGGCTCGATTGTTTGCCCCGGTCGTTTGCCGGCGGAAGTTCCATCCAAAAGGCATTAAATTTGAATGGTTATCATGTGACATCCTCAATGGCGTAGTGGCTATGAGAGGTCGGGTCTTACCGAAAGTACCGGGTTCAAACCCTGCTATAGACCTTCTCGTTCCCTTCTTCCTTTTTTTTTTCTTTTTTGTTTTGTCTCGTTTGCTTATTTGTTTTGCTGTTTTTTTTGTTTTGTTTTTAAATATATACTTAAATAACTGTTACTTAAGTGCAATAAACAGCAAGAAAAGTATTGTGTTTCCAGAACAAGGATAGTATATTTATAATATGAATTTCTATCATTTCCTAAAATTCACTGTGGGAAAACCAGAGGTGATAACTAGTTGATTATTTTCTAAACAACGTACCCACGAGTTGACGATAGTCTTTCTTTGATTATACAACTCTCCGGAATGTTACTAAAACAGTGAACGACCACGGGGAACAGGAAAATGAAAAATGGGAACAAAACCTAACTTCAACCCTAGCCCACTCGGTAAATTCATTTCCAATTCTCTGTTTGTTCCCCACTTTTCATTTTCCCGTTCCCCTTGCTCTCGTTCTCTGCTCCCCTTTCCCCGTTTTAGTAACGTTCCGGTTCTTCGCCGTCATTATACGACCACGGCGTGAGACTGTCAAGTTTTACGTTTATGGAGGATTTGAACACATGAGAGCGATTTTCTTTTCCAAACGGATATACAATTCTTTAGAATTTAACCCTTATGAATATCGGCCAACATTTCGCAACTTAAACGAAATGGACCCGAAGTAAGAGCGATAAAGTTTGAAAAAGCGTGAGTTCGGTTTTTAAGTGACGTTTTCGCCGCTGTCGCCGTCGTAGCTGCTGAAGCTCCCGGGGCTCTCCTCATGAAAAGGTTTACTGGAGCAGATGAAAGACGTATTTCCTTACACGAGGAAATTAAATCAAAGAAGCTATTTCTCAGTCACCATATCCTCCAATTTTGAGCAGCTTCCAGAACTTTCCAAATTAAGTTATTTTTCCAGGAAAAAGGCAAATGATAATCATATGACAATTTTCGTCCGTCAAATCTTTCTTTAGAATTTCCTCTACAAAGGAAAAAATAAACAAAAAAAACAAAACGAAACAAAACGTAACAAAATGAACCAAAAAACAATAATTTCTCCTGTCAACAATGTGAATTATTGCATTGACGTCATCTCTGTAATATCTTTGAAAACAGAACGATCGTTGAACGATCGAGATGGCCATGAAAAATGTAAACATGACAGGCTATTTGAAGGAGAACGATCGCTAAAAGTATGAAAATTACAGATTAGCTTCCCATAAGCGGAGGCTTATCTGTTCATTTTTGTTGCTGTTCTTGAAACATCTAAAGACTTTCATGTGGTAAATTCCGTCGTCGTTTGTTTTACTGTCTACGTGGCTTGCTTCTGAGGGGCAGAAGCGGGTGCCAGCTTCTCTAGAAGTGTACAGTTTATGGGCGTTCGCAGACGTTTGAGTGATTATGGTTTAGTGTCTATACCAAATCCCTGTCAGCTATTGGACATACATAAGGTAATGTCGCACCTTCAGAGTGGGTTTTAAATTTCCAAGAAACTGACCAGTCGCTTTGAACTTCTCCAAACCAGGAAGACACTCCAATTTCATACCCTTGTCGCATTCCAGAGTTAAAAGACGAAAGGTGGTAGCAGGAACCGTTAATTCTCCCATTCAGCTTCATTGCCTAGTGGCTTTATCTCCCTATACCGTACAGTGCTCGTCGTTATGGTGCATAGTTCTTTTTCTACTCCACGTTACATTGACTTTGCAACCATGTATTTCTGACTCTTTGTTGTTTATCACGGGTGTAATTGGTTTGCCTTTAAATAATGAGAATAATACTATGATTATTTAGTGATTTCCACCGATTTTTTTGCAGTGATAGATGAATGTAGAAAGGTACACTACGAAACCTACAAAACTATCTAACAACTTATTAAACTCGAACAATTAACAACCAGCTCACCGATGCCATCTTAAGTAACCGAGATAATTATGCGCATGCGTTGAGTCCTTTAAAAAGAGTTCTTGGTTAATTCCTGCGAGACCGAGGTCCCATGAATGTGACAATAAGCACACAAAAAATTGATTTTGTTACTTAAATTTGCCTGTAATTAATTTTTGGAACTTGAGAGTGGGCGCTTATTCGAGGAGGGCGTTTACTCGAGGCTAGGCGCTTATTAAATTTTCACCATTTTCAGCAAGTTTAGTATGTTTATTTTGGAACAAAACAATAAATAGCAATAACAAAACGCGAAGATGTAACAAAGGAAGGTTTCTGTAAAATACTCTAAAGAAAACTCCTTCTTAGGGGAAGTCTCTTATTAGTACTTATTCAATTTCAATTTCAATTACAATCTCATTGTCATTCAAATCAGTAAGTGAATTCTCTGGTGCTGCCTCCTCGATGTCCGACGTCGTAACGTCGGCAAATGGCAAAATAAAAATAGTGTCCCCTATTAGTTCTTTCGTACTAAATATATCAACACTCAAATAATTAAGTTCATTTTATTAGATAATACTCTTGCCTTTGATTAAGTCACCAATCTGCTGCACGGATAAAAGCTTTTTCCAGTCACGTAAAGATCCATGATTGCTCCAACAAACACCCATTTGCCATTGGCATCCGGACTAAACCCGGATCATTCCCTATGATGTACTCTGGCTGATAACGGCCTAACGATGAGAAGAAATACTCATTCCATTGGTCTATCAGTGTCTCCTCGGTACCATTAACGAACACCTTGATCTTATGCAGCTGACAGGTTACTGCTACGTGATTCCAGTAATTGATTTGTAAGTGGAAAGTGTTGTGTATCGATAAAATGGGTGTAGAATTCTTGACTGTAACGTAAAATAGTTTTCCACCCTTTGACCAAAGCTCCATTATAGGCCCGTGAACACCAATATACTTTACCCAAAAAGCAATTGTAAAGTCACAGGTTGTTATGTTAACGTTGGGAACAGTAGCATAGGAACCATTCTGACTGAAAGTGGCCGCTTTGCTTCCGGGACACCAGCCTTCAGTATGGTTAACGGTACCAAAATACCTGTAAGATAACAAAACCAATGAATAGAATCTAGCTGTGAATAAAAGAATTACCTGTCATAGGAACATGCAAGGCACTATTTTACCCTCGAATCCTAAGTTATGAGACAAAAATTAACCAGTCAACGCTATGAGTGTAATGCCACCTACAGCAGTCAGAAATGCAAATGCATAAGTTTTGTGGCGATGCTGAAACCTGGATGTCATCATGAAAGAGACAATGGTTAATCTGAAAATTTATTTAAGAGTAAGAGAGAACTAAGAAGGGAGGTCGTTGTCGTATAAAATCTTTTGAGATACGAAAGTAGGGGTAAGGCATAAAAAGCCAAGCCTCCACCCCCCACCCCCCAACCCCCCCTCGTCTCG